TAAAGATATTTATTATTTTATTAATTTAGGGAGAAATGTAAGTTTCGATTAAAGGGATAAACCTGGTGCACTTTCCTGATTGATTTATTTTTGTAAGCCAAGCAATGGTTAGGTTAATTTTCACTATGCCTTAGAGTCCGTTCTGCTATCAATGGTTAGGTATCTGAATAACTCACCAACTGTTATGTATCGACTTGCGGTGTGTCCGATACTAACAGAAACAAGACTTGACTAACAACAAAGTTTTATCACAAGGCAAACAATACAATAGAAATAGGCGAGACTATGCGTTGGCTTTGACTAGACTATAGGCTAACTGTAGACTGACTAACTAACTCTCGACTAGTGTTTGGCACGAGACGATATATCGACGATATTTTTCGAGATATCGCGAGATTTTTTTCGAGATTATCGATCTCGATCTCGTCTCGATCAATTTTTGAAAAAATCGAGATTTTTCGATATCGAGATTTTTCGAGATTATCGATCTCGATCTCGTATCGATCAAGTCAGAAATATCGGTCAAGTCAAAACGACGTCTTTGACTACAGGCGATCACTTTTGAGTCCAGTAAATGCAGAAATGTTAATTTTTCTGAACCAATTTTTGGCAATTTGCCAATTTTTTGTGGCAAATTTACATTTAGATCATAATTATATTTATTGAAATAAATTTTTATTCAATTCTAAGGGATTATAAAAATATCGAAATATCGCGATAATCTCGAAAATTTTGGACCGAGATTTTTCGATATCGAGATTTTTCGAGATTATCGATATAGTCTCGATCAATTTTTGGAAAAATCGAGATTTTTTCGATATCGAGATTTTTCGATAATCTCGATCTCGAAAAATCGCAAATGCCTAACACTAGTTTTAACACAATTCTAGCATGGGGAATTAACCGAGAGGGAGAATTATTCAAGGAAGGGGAATTAATCCAGAAAATAAGGTATCTACATTTACTCGGAGTGGGGATTTTCAAAGTCGGCTAGATCGTGATAAATTGTATTTTTTAATTTAATTTTTTAAATTTATTATTTTAATAAAACTTAGCTATATTTATTAAAATTCTTTAAATATACATACATATTTGAAACATATATAAGAATATTACACTGTTCTTAAAACATCATTTAAAATTGAAAATTAAATTACTTTTTTACAAGTTAAAATTTGTTATATCTATAATTATAACATATTTTTACATAGAAATATAATTTGAAAAATTTAATTTAATATTTTTATTAATATTTTTCTAAAATATGCCGGGTAAATCTTATATTAAATTAATAAAAGATATAATTCTTGAAGAAAATAAAATTTAATTTAATTTTTACATATATTTATTAATGTAAAATTAATTTTTACATTAATTTAATTTTTACATACAGGGTGCGGCAAATCTTCGGCTATAACTTCCATTTCTAACCAAACTAGAACTTCATTTTTCTCGTGACTAAAAATTTTTGATACTTAATACTGCACTGAAAACGAAAATTTTCATTTCAATTTCGTTCCGCGAAAATAAAATTTTTTTCGTATATTTTGCTTGATTAAGAGCGAAATTTTCTTTTGTCCAACGCTGCTTTGATATCTAAAGCTTTTGAAATCCAATTACTACTTATGCCGCACCCTGTAATTTATACATACCGTATATGCTCGATTAATTACCCTGTGTAATTATTGTTTTGACCTCTCGCTGGAGGGAGTAATTATTCAAGATGAGGTGCTAAATTTGCGGTATATCTCAATAAATCCAGGAGGGAATCCATCTATTTTTTTATATAGATTAATAACTGTTTCATAAATTAAAATTGACAATGATTTTTTCAATATATTTACAATTTGTCTAAAAAATGAGGAGTTAATTAATAAAGAGTGTAATTATTTGAGAGAAGGTAATTATTCGAGCATATACGGTATTTTAAGGTATTCAGCTGAATTAATGCCTTCATTAGAGGATTTCTTTCTATATTTATCAATCTTCATAAGTTTACCTTCATTTATTGTCTACATATTACAGATTTGGACAATTATTCGGAACAAATCTCTTCACAATTCTTTCTATACACTTTTCTGTATTAGAGCTTTTTATGTAATTTAAAATCTTTTATAATTTAATTTAAGTAATATTAAAGGGTTTTGTTTACTTTTTTACCTCCTATTGTGGTTATAGAATTACAAATTTATTTCCATATTGGTTCATAGCTAATCCATATCCACAATGGACATTGTCAATGTTTAATTTTTTGTCAAGCTATACATTTATTGGCGATAATCTTTCATCATTCTTCATGATGTTAAACAGATTTATAGCTATTGCATGGGCATTTAAATATGAAAAGGTAAGATGAATAGGGTGGATTCCGTTATATTACTCTAGAGATCGGATAAACGGCAAAAACAAATATAAAATCAAACTATTTGATACTTGAAAGTATTTGAAAAAATATGACTTTTTTTAACCTCATCAAACAAATATTTTATCAAATTATTTGATTTCCAACGTCAAATATGTGTTTGATCCGATCTCTATTGTGCTCTATTGTCTAAAAAATAAGGAAATTGTATAACAATATAGTCAGAAAATTACCGATTTATAGATGTTCCTGAGACATATTTTTTGTGCATTTGTCTAATCTTTGCAAAATTAAATTTATTAGTACGGAACATGTACAGAACCTCTATATTAGTACGGCATTATTAGGACGGCAACTACTCTTGAAAAACAAGTCAATTATTAGTCCAACATCTCCCGTTGTTTGAACAACATTCATTTTAGAATAATCATCCTCGTAGTTGGAACACCTTGACATTTCGAATTTTGATAACTGGACACGTTCAAATGGCCCCTATCACTTATATCACTAGTGTCAACATTTTAGGTCCGAAAGACTGATATACATATAAACTCCTATTTAAAGTTTTCAAGCGGCAAAATAGGTGTAAAAATATGAAAAGAGCCAAAATACGATTGACTTTTGACAAATATTTTTTGACATGAAAATATGGCATAACAAGAGAGTGATTTTAATATTAATTTCCAATTAAGATATGGCAGAAGATCCATCGAATAGCATGTTTCCTTTGCTTCGCATTACCTCTAAATTGCATTGGAATGCTCTCAATAAGATATACGTATTTTACAGTAAGAGATGATAAGAATGAAAATATTATTTCAATTAATATTATTGAATTGAATAATGTTAGTTTGATAATATAAAATTCAAATTATTTTTAAAAAATATTTAAAGGAAGGAAGGCTAAATTTCTACATTCAATTAAGTACAATTGAATCAATTTTCTTTCTTTTTGCTTTCATTATAATTAATTTATTAACGATTTTTGCTTACAAAAAGAAAATAAAAAATATAGTCGAAGCTGTTAATGTCGCTAAAACTAAAAATTCTGACGAGAAAATTGAACGAAAATTGTTGCTTATTGCTTTGATATCTTCATTTGGCCAAATGCTTATGGCAACAGCTGTGGTAAATTTAATTTTACTATATGTAGTTGCCAATTCTTTTAGTAAAACTGGATCATTCAATACTAGGTCTATCGGTTTCAAAACTTTCGACCCTGAGAATTGATCAGTCTAACAAATTTTGTTTTCTAAAACCTAAGACTTAATGAAACCGCTAACTCTTGGCGAGAATTGTGTAGAGTCCGAGACCGAGTTTGAAAATCTCGGCCTCGGTGAGTTCTCACTCACCTTGACCAACTTATGAAAAGAAAACTTATGACCAATATAAAGATATACTCATTTTATTAACATTTTAAATCAGATTATGTTATATGTTCTCAATAAATCATCACGTGTACTTCTTAACTATATCTATTCAATTGTTATGGATATCGGAATCATTATATTGCCCAGTTGGCCATTACTTTGTTGCAGTCAATCATTTAGAATTAAATTACTTCGAACAATACTTCCAAAGAAACTTTATAAAAGATTTATTGGATCATTGAAACAACCTTCAAAAATAATACTGAGTGCGCAAAAAACAATTAAGGTTTTACCAGCAAATCCAGCAAATCTTAATTAAAATACAACTTAAATTTTGCTGTAAATAAATGTTGAGCAAAAATAAATTAATATTTTGTTGAAGTGAATATGCTATTTTATAGACATTTAATGCTTTATAATTTACTTATTAATTTTAACATTAACTATTTTTAATTGTTTAGAAAATTTTAAATTTTATTTTATAAATGCTTGAGTCTATCTTTTTTCCGTGACTGTATATGATCTTTTGAAATAGAGTTGACGGTATCGGGATCCCGATTGGGAGGGATTATACAGGCTTTTTGAATCCCGATCCAAATTTTAGGAGATTTAGGAGCTGCGATAGGGATTTGCATATAATCCCGATGCAAATCCCAATGTGTATATGCAAGCGAAAATGCTAGTCTACTTCTAATCATTTCAAACTCTTAAAAGTCTAAGCAACTAATACTTTCATATCTCTCATTTACTGGGGATCTTTTCCACTACCATCTAAATTTTTATATAAAGCTGGAATGAAAAAATGACAAACTGGAAATTTTTTCAGAAATGATACATATTTTGGCAAATATTGAAGAGTCCTCAAAACATTTTTTAATGAGTCATACATATTTTATTTTGTTTAAAAACATTTTGAAAAGCAATTTGTAAACTTTCTTTTTGTTCTTTCTAAGATTACAAAACGAATTTATTTTCACTGATTGAATGGAAAAATTGAAAGAAAAATAAATTAAAAAGGAATGATTATTTTATTTTTTAAAATTTTATAATAACAACTTTTTGATTTCTATAAAATGTATTGAAATTTTCTATTTTTTTCAGTCAATTCTTCTCTGACTAAACATTTTCGGTGATCCCAAAATAAGTTAATGAGAATTAAGCAAAATTAGTTTTAATCAGAATAGATTAGATAAAATTCCAAAAATTAATATCATTCATAGATTATAAATAAATCTTTCTACTGTTATATTAGTTTAAAAATATTTGAATTTCACTTTAGAATTATGATGACCTTAAACTCCATTATCATCGTTATATTTATTGCTTCATTTGTTATATTTTCTCAGCAAAACGAGGTAAAACCGGATGATCAACAGTCAAAAGATGTTGAAAAAACTTTTACAAAAATTGGACTGGAAGGTGATTATTTCAATTTTAGGTTTTAATATTTAGTAGAGCTGTCCGAGACAGAAAATTTTCCAAGACCCAAGACCAAGACTAGACCCCAAGACCAAGACCGAAAAAAACCTAATGTAAGAGAAGTCTTGAGTCAAGACTCAAGACCAAGAGTCTCTTAGCACGGCTTAATTTGCTATGAAAACATTTCAAAAATTAGTTTGATGTTTGGGATAAGATAGAGGTAATAATAATCCAGGATGGGGAGGAAGACAAACATTCTCCGTGGGGGTTGTTGATGGCTGTTGACTTTTAGTTCGGACTGATAAATTTACTTTACTTTTCGAGAATTATTACCAAAATAAAATTTTTTTAATTTTTAGTCCCTCAACCTAATCAAAGGGGCACCATTCAATATCCTCCACCTGTGCAGTTCGGGCAGCGTCGCTATGATGTACCAGATCCTCGTTTAGGCTATGGACCACAACCATTAAACTACGGATACAATCCAAATTTATATAATCATCCTCAGCCTGGACCAATTTTAGGGCCTAATCCGCCTTATAATGGATATGATCTATATAATAGAGCAAATATTTATCGACCACCACAACAATACTATCCTGGGCAGCCGATTTATGGGCCATTTCCTAAGCAAAATACAGGTAAAATAATATACATACTTCTAAAACAGGGCTCCGATCGACAAAATGCCACTCAAAAGTATCAAAATCTTGTAAAAAAAGTACATAGGGAGAAAATTTACAAATAAAAAGTACACTCAAAATTAAATTTGAAAATATTTATTCGTGATCAGATCTTTTATATTTCTCTCTTAAATTAATCTTTTCTAATAATTTCTTGTTTCAACTGAGCATTTTGTTGACATGTCAAAATTTGCTGTCACATGAAGCAAAGCTCTGACAGTCTTAACCTCAAGCGAGTTTCTTTCCTTCGTCCATTGAATGTTTGCCATTGAGAAGCGCCGCAGGCGAAAATTTTTTGAAATTTGGAGCCTAAGAAGCCAGATTTCTTCTTTTTCAGCGCCGCAGGCGAAAATTTTAAGAATTTTGGAGGTCCTTAAGCCAGATTTCTTCGTTTTTTCAAAAATGTTGATAAAAAAGTACATACTTTCAAAAAAGTACAAATTCAATTTCGGAAGTACGAAGGTCGATAAAAAAGTACAATACTTTTAAAAAAGTACGAATCGGAGCCCTGTTCTAAAATAAAAATTGTCAATTTAGGGGAACAAGGTTCACAAGTTGTTTAAGATTTGGAACATAATCAGAATGTGGAAATAATTCAAATTATTGATAAATAAATAATTATACAATTTAAAATACAAGATTAATAAAATATAAATTTTTAACACACTTTTGGTTATATAATATTCTGTTAGAAATATACAAGACTAGTTTGCTGCTAAATTTTTAGCTTATAAAATCCTCAGCATCTTCGTTGGAAAAAAGGAAAAATAGGTCTAGGATTTTTTAACCACTTTCCAAATTAAGTAGCAAAACACAAGAATAGATCCTAAAGCTGTCAACATTTATTATTTCATTTTATTCCATTACACAATTTACATTGAAAAGTTCCGTCATATGTCCCGGAAACCGATTTGAACAAACGGTATGTCATTCGAAAGAGCCCGCTGAACTGAGCCGAACAATACAAAAATCAGCTTCGGGACTCAACCTTAGGGCGAGATATAGAGGGACAAAGCTGATTTTGGGGTAAAAAATTCGAATAAAAATAATATCTCATTTTAAAGAGTTTTTCTATTCTAACAAATAAGCTCACACAATAAATTACATAAACATTGTTACATAACTGAGGGCCAATAAATATTCTAAACGAAAATCAAAGTTACGTGTTAATAACCGGTAACAGTCCATTACCGACAACCATAATCAAGAATTTTTTAAAATTTTAATTATTTACAGCATCGATTTATATTTTTAAAATTTGTAGTTTGTTAATTTTAATATTTTTTGTAGTTTGTAAATTGAATTTATAAAGGGCATTTATTTCAAAAGTGCATAGGGTACATTTTAGTTCAAAAATGGATTATTTATTTAATTTTTTATCAATTTTTAAAAAAATCATACATATAAATGCCTAATGAAATTAAAGACTGTCAGTGTAGTAGCGCCCTCGCTTTGTCTTAAATTAACGAGGTAATATTATAAACGAGAGGGTAATTTTTAAGAGGGGTAAAGAGAATTTTTAATGGCGTTTAAATGGATGTATGGGGGACTTTAAGGGAGGTAAGTCGGATTTTCTAAAGAGCTTTTCACTCATGGCAAATTTAAATTTTTTATTTCTTAATTTTTTAATAGAGGGGAAACAAGTTTTTGTACCCGCAGCGTGTTGTCAACAAACCCCGCCTTAGCCAGAACTTGTTTTTAAACTCGATGAAAATAGCTAGAGGCATTCATTTCGGGCATTTTTTAGATTTTTTAAATTGTTTTAATAATAATTACTCTGAAATTTTAATAAGGGTTTAAAAAACCAGAAGCATATCCGTATCCATATCCGTATCATGGTCATATATATCCGTATCCTAGTCATGGATACGGATATGCAAACAGGATAATACCAAAATGCCTTCGGATATCCGCCTGTATCCGTCTGTATCCGCCGTAAATATCCGGATACGGATACTGTTGTGTCCGCACTTGCAGAAAGAACATAAATGAAAATAAATAACCCAGCAATGGGTTGGATGGTGGCACAGTCGGTTGTGCTTCGGTTTGGGCTCATTCCATGATGGTTCAATTCCATCTACCATCCACAATTTTTCCACAGCATGAACATCGGACATTATAATGGCGCAGTCGCACAGGCCGGGCATAGCCCGAGGAAATTTAAGCGAACCTTCAAATGCTGTGATGATCTGAAATTCTGTCACTGTGGAGAGAAAAAGGAGAAGACCCTGTGAGAAATTAAGAAAAAAAAATGCCTGAGTTGTGATAGGCTAGCCGGTGGTGTGAAGGCTAATATATAAATAAAATGCGTAAGGCGCATGAAGCGCAGCATATGCCACAAAATGGGTTTCTGTGTGTTCTCTCCAAAAATCGAAACAGTTGATAGTTATAGAAGACAAGCAACAAGCGAGGACGCTTGATTTCGCAAGGCGGAAGGAGTGTTGTGTCCGCACTTGCAGAAAGAACATAAATGAAAATAAATAACCCAGCAATGGGTTGGATGGTGGCACAGACGGTTGTGCTTCGGTCTGGGCTCATTCCATGATGGTTCAATTCCATCTCCCATCCACAATTTTTCCACAGCATGAACATACTATCGTATGTTATAGATACCAAAATCAGTATCAGTGACCATGTCTGATCTAAATACTTTTTTTATAAATTTTTTAGTTGAAATGTTAATTTTAATATTTCTTCTTATTTTTGGCAATTTTCAAGAAGGTAATATTTTAAAATCACAGAAATCTCTTCCTTAATTAATAAAAATTAAAGAAAAAATTTTTCCTTTAATTATTGTTTCTAGGCTTTTCCGAGACGGAAATCAACGGAAATGATGTTTTGAAAATGGCAAAATGCTACATGGATGCATTTTACCAAAAGCCGCCTTCAATTCCTCGTAAACTAAAAATATAAAAATGAAATAGGTATATTCTAAATTTAGGCAATGATATTGTTGTAATGGAAGAAACTTTAAATCCACATTTGGCTTTTTCTGAAGGGATCAATGACTGCTTGAAGGGCATCAAAGATATTGTAAATCCTATAATCCTATAACGCGCCGGTGCCATACCTAGAATATTGATCCATAGACCTAGATCCATTGATTTTGGAATTTTGCTCGATGATAGCGTGATATTAAAACTTAGTTTTTTTTTGTATTTTCTATTGGATATACAAAATAAACTTCGATTAGTTTATTTTGGTGCAGTGTTACCTTTAATGCCTCTAATGCCAAAAAAGTGCCTTTATAATTTTGTGGAGCAGTTTAAAAATTTTTACAAAAATTCCACTTTAAATTTAACTTATTGCAAATTTCTTTAAAATTAAAGCAAAAACTGCAAAAAAGTTTGTTTGGGAACTCAGGTCTAGAAGAATGGCGTCAAACTAAAATTCACCAATTGAAAAAGGAATACAGCACAAACATTCTGAAATATGCTCCTCTTCCAAACAAAGAAACCACGATGAGAGAATGGCTTAAAAGCATGGAATTCGGGGAGAAGAAAGAAATTTTGTTAAAGTGGCAAAATTATAATTCAGAAAAAATGAAAGAGACATTTTTAAAGGAATTCGATAAAAAGAGACTGAATATTAAGGAGTTTAAAAAATGGCGTAAACTAACGACAAAAAACATTGGAAAATTTCAAGATATTTTCATTAAAGATATTGACTATAAATATGATAAGTGGCGCACTAAACTCGGCCCTTTTTCTTTGCCGCTAAGGTCCGCTTATTTGAAAGTCGCTAATGATTTGATTCAAAAATTGGTTAATGAGGTATTTTTGTGTATTTATTTCTCAAAATGTTTGAGATAAACCATACAAATTTTAATTAGAAATTGAGAAAAATTTCAAAATTTTGCCCATATCCGGCATGAAATTATTTTTAAGATATCAGACGAAGCATTGAAAACAATTTTGATTGGAATGTTACAACGAGTAGAAATAGAAATACAAACAAACATTCCGATTATTATGTATTCATTTTTAAGTAAATACTTTGATCATAATAGCTTTAACAAAATGATTAAAAAATTAGAAGCTGAACTGGAAAAAGTTAAAGTCAAAGCTGAAATTGGTAACAGTTTTGCCGTTTTATTTTTTTATCAAATAATTATTAATGGTTTATCTGCCTTAAGATACATATATTTTTGACTGTACCTAACATCTAACACCAAGAAATTCGAAATAAAATTTCGTTTCTGAGCAAAACGAAACTCAAGTAAAAGAGCAAATCTTGCCTAAAAAGACTTGCCTTGCCTAAGATTTGGAGATTTCGGGAATCGGTAATACCGACCCAAAAATTTCGGGAATTCTCTATTTTCGCGAAACGATTCGGCTAGCCCTGTTACTGCCAAAATATGAATTAAATATAAATTTTATTCAGGTGATGATTATCAAAATGATATTCCAAAGTTTCCACCAGTTAAGAGAGTTATCTGGTTTGTCCGCCATGGAGAAAGGCTTGATAATGATAAAAATGAAAAAAAGAAAGCACGCGAAAGTATAGAACAATGCTACTATAGTGAAGATTGTAATAGAAAATTTAAACTTGACAATTCCCCTTTGAACAAGACAGGGGAAAAAAGAGCTGAAATATTGAATAAAGTGTAAGATTTATTTTCTGGGTTGTTAAGGAAGTCGTACATAGTCGGACATAACTATTAGATTTTTCGACTGAAAGATATTTAAATTTTAGCTTTGACAATATTAACATTCAACACATTTTTGCTTCTCCGTATGAACGAACATTGCAAACAGCTTTACTTCTTTTAGGGGAAAGCCATAAAAATTTTGATTCAAAAGGGAATTTAGAGAATGAATTGAAAGTAAAGGTAGAGCCAGGGTTTATAGAGAATATGATTGATTGTGTCAACAAACCTATTGGTTATGAGGATATTTTGGAATTGGCAAAGCATCATTCTCGCTTAGATATTGGATATGTTCCTATTTTAAATAGAGATAAATTGGCACAGGTTTACAAAGAGGTAAATAATCAGTATGGATAGGATTTATGTGAATTTCAATTTTTCCTTGCCTCTCTGGGTTCTAAAATTAAAAAGTAATTTTAGTACAAGGAGGGGTTTATTAAACTATCAAAGTCCATTGAAAACCGAAAACGGATTTTTTTCAAAAGTTCGAATGTTGATTAATCTGTAAGTCCTGCTAATGCCATTTTTCGCGACGTGTCCTGAAAATTCAATACAGGGACCTGCCCGTGCCGCACTCTACTATCCATCCCATTTTCCAAACACTTAGATTTTTAGTTGATATAAATCCTAATTTTAGTAATTATATAAATTTTAATTAATTAAGGAGGAAAGCCTCGAATCCGATATTGGTTGCGTCAATCGCGTTGAACATGTGTTAAATGAACTTCTCTATAATGATGAAAAGCAGTGCTTAACAACCCCATTCTTCAACAAAAGTTTGGTGGACCAAATTAAAAATGGGAACTATCATAGTGAATGGATACAACCAGGAGAGGAATCCGCTGGTATGATAAAGTTACTACAAAATTCAAATAAGGGTAGTAATTATGGGGAGGAGTGTTAGAAATAAAATTGGCCCCACAAAATCGTGGCAGTCTCGAGTTCAACAAAGGTGGCTTAATCACAAAAATTATGTCCAAAAGGTACTGATTCCTCTAAAAATGTCTACTTTTCGAGTTCTGGTCCCAATTCAGAATGACTGAAACAGCCTTATTCTAAATCAGTTACTACGAAAATTATCAAAAACCTTTTTATCAGTTAATAATTAAATATTTTCCAGAACAAATTGTAATAGTTACGCATGGAATGTTGCTTAATGCCGTTCATAATCACATTGCAGGGATGTTTACATATGCTCCTCAGGTCTGTTAATATACCTACATATATTAGACTCATAATATTATTTTAGACTTCGATCGTTAAAACTGTTGAATTGGATCCATCAAGGTAATGATATCCTTTTATTAAAATCCATATATTATATTTAAAAAAATATTTTTTAGTGAGTATGCAAGTGGTCAACAAGGAACCACAAGTTTTTCAATCGGAAACGACTATTTTAAAAACCTTCGATTAGTTTATTTTGGTGCTGTTACACCGTTATTAAAAGAAGGAGAGAAATTGGAAGATTTGTTTAATCATTGAGAAGCATCCGTGAGCTGGAACAGCAAACGATTGAGTGTCACTGTATAAAATCTAACCTTATTTAAAAATCCTTAGTCTTTTGAGCTCTTTCGATTCATAAATTTTATCCAAAAATTCAAGAATTGAGAATGAAAAAAATGGAAATGAACTCGAAAACATCGAAAGAGCTTAGTTAGTTTATTTTAAATTATTTTTTTATCTAACACCAGGACAAGAAATTTTGCAAAAATAGGGATGAAGCCTTGATGTACCCTAGACAAGTCTTGTAACTAAGATAAGAGCAAGTCTTCTAATTAAGTATTCACCCGGACAAAAAATCTGAAAAAATGCAGGCATATTTGTCAATAATATGAGGAAATTAAAAAAACTAAGCCCATATCTCATTTCAATGTCGAATCTTCCTAAAAATATTGACCTATGACATTGAATTCAATCCTTAAGTTAACTAAAAAATCGTGAAAATGTATCAGGAGAAAGTAAAAAACATATGAAATTTTTTCTTGCACTAGAAATTTTCTATTTATTTATAAAATTTTTACAGTAAGAAAATTTTTGCCATTTTTTGAGCTCCAGTAAAATTTCTGTTCTGTCGGTCACTAACCCGAGTAAAAACAACATTATTCTTTTAAAGCATGAAATTATTCTTATTTTAAATTTATTTTTTAACTTTTATTTTAAACACATTTTATATTTAAAACAGTAGTTTAGTATAAATCTTAAAAAAAGATTTTTTTAAAATAGTACATTCGTTTCTATTATATTATTTATTTCTTTTGGTACCTTTGACTCTCTATGAAAGGAATGCTCGGATTCCCTTACTTTCTGAGACCATCTCTATTGGTCAATTTTCCTTACTATTTAATGTTGAGGTGGATTTTGAGTAATATCGGTTAATTTCAAGGGGTCATATGTAGGTAATATCGAGGGATTTGGGTGTGATATCGAGGGATTGAGTGGTGTAACGTAGATATCAGGGATTGGATATCTGGGTATTTGGCCTTCCAAAACTTAGCTTTTATAACATGACCTTCCGTAATTCACAAAAATTTTTGCCTGCGGCGCTATAAAGGAATGTAGAATAGAAAAAAGGAACGAAGAATTGATATCTAGGGATCTGGTAGGATTAAGGATACTCGAAGAAATTCGGTGATCAAATGGAATATGTAATTGATGGGATTCATTCATTGGCCACCCAAGGGTCGATTCATTCATTGGCCACCCAAGAGTCTTAGTCGGCCGCTAAACTTTTGGGTCCCATTCTGGGCATTTTTGCTAACAATTTAATTAAATATTAGGGCTAATTGGAAAGTTTAAAACGGAATAAAAAGATATTGAATTAAAGTACTTGCGAGGTTAATTTAAGCTCAAAGAGGTCTTCGTTTTGTTAAAATTTCGGAGTTTGCGAATCTGGAGTCAGAGGGATTTGACACAGCTAAAGAGGATTTTGAAGCAAAAACACCACGGGAGGCACGTATAAAAGGTATCAACAATGAAAAGCGGAAATGGCAATTGAACTCGAGGGGATCAAGGCAAAAATGAGGAGTTGAGGACATGAACACGGAGAGAGGAGCAACAGGACACCTTATCATAGCTTATTCAACGGGACGGAAGACATTTTACCCTATTTGAACAAATTCAATATGGTAGCCACTGCCTACGGCTGCCAACCCCCTAGATTTTGCCAAATCCTTTCGATATATTTACGGGGGCATGCTTGAGGAGGAAAAGACATCCTGGAGGGCCTTGACGGATGGATTAGCTGAACGGCTAAAAAAGGTCTCAACTCGGGAGATGGCAAGGTCAAAAATGATGGAGAGATATCAGAAGCAGGGAGAGTCAATCGAAGAGTTTGCACAGTCCCTTAGGAGCCTGGCGGAGCGCGCATATCCAACTCACTGGAGGTGGACCTCTCTTGACTGACGCTTTCCAGTCACTCGGGACTGGAAATTTAGGGACAGCTGTGCCGCTATAGATTTTGAGCGGGGTACGGGGTAGATTTCGACCCGAAATACGAGAAAAAGTGATCTTTATGGAGGACCCCGGGACCTTGGCGGAGGCGATATCACATGCTCGACGGGTAGAATAGTTGAATGGCGCTATTAAGGAAGACGTTTGAAGGAGAACTAAGGAAATAGAAGTTAAGGCGACACTGGCTGAAGTCAATGAAATTAGGGCAAATAGAAAACAGGAAAATTGGAAGGGAAGAGAAGGAAATAATTATCAGAGTCAAAACCAAAATTTTCGCTAATACTCAAGTAGAGGAAATCAATGGGGACAGAGAGGTAATACAGAATGGAATCGAGTAGCACAAAACCGTTGGCAATCCGGAAGCAGTCTTACCGGGACAATGAAAATTCCAGAAATAATTACCAAAGAGGATGAGGATGGAATAGAAACCCAAATATGATTGACGTACCGAGTTTTCGAGGACGAGAGAAGAACTGGGAATTACCATAGACATATCGAGGCCCCCCCCCCCGCTGTGGAATTATTATTAAATTATTATTTTCTCCGCCCCAATTTTACTAAATAAAAGGGAAGAGGACTAGGACAAACTCTTAGTTTTTAGTCTTGATTTGGCCAGGTCCTCTCCCCGACCGGCTCATTTTTTTATATTTTATTTATATTAATAAACTTTTAAAGGAAGAGATTTCTCTTTTTTAATTAATTCGGCGGACGCGCTCCGTTGATCGGGTTCGCCCAATCAACGGAGCCCAACGTCCGGCCACGCACAAATATTTATTAGTTTTTAAATCAAATCTATATTTAAAAAATTTAATAAATGCCTTTCTAAATTATAGAATTGTGTGTTTGTAATTACTTCCGATTTTATACAGAATCATTTTTCGAAACATGAGACTTTTCTCGAACTTATTTTCGCATTATTATCCCCATTGCTTCTGCAATTCTTTAAAGTGGACAGTGGCTTGATCAATTAATTTTGTGGCATTGTTAGTTGTTCTTTTTTGATTGTTTCTTATGAACTTGATGAAACGAATGTAGACAACCAGCGTTACAGCAGCATAGAGATATACCAACTTAGAAAAATATTTGAATTTTTAAGAAACATAGAAGTATTAAAAGATTTTTTAAATAATTTTTTACATAAAAATATGAAAAAATTGGACACAAAAATATTAAAAAAGCCAAAGAAAATTTTTAAACCCTAGAAAAACATTTTTCTGACCAAGGTTTTTCTAATCTTTTAGCAGATTTTTAGTGGAGCTTTGCTTAATATTTGTCTTTTGTAAGAGTGATTCACCTAGCAGCATTTAAAACGCTTAGGCGGGGGTTAAAAGATCTAAAAAGGAAAAAGAGAAAGCACTAGTCGATGCCCCGGTAGCTCAGAGGTAGGGCTCCTATATGCGGTGAGCGAAAGTGACTGCAACAACTAGCAGGTGGTCGCAGTCCGGTGGCTAAACTTTTGCATACTTTCTCTTTTTTTATTAATAATTCCTTATCCAACTTGATTTAATTTACTTATGATCTAGTATATCCAAAACAAAAAATCCCATAACTCGAAAATTTTCAATTTAGATACAAATTCCAGCTTTCCTGAGATTTTTCTGTGCCCTTAGAAATTTAATTAATTTAAAGTATATACCAAGTTTATAATATTGTAGTAAAATACATAGGTTGCTATTGACAATTCTACTTTATATGAGCGAAGGAACACAACGAGTGCATTATATAAAAGGTAAATTGTTGCATAAGCAATATCCATTGGAAGGATTAAACGCATTGAAAGTATGTTCTCGTTAAGTTGAAAACTCGTGCTTAGGCTATAGTCGCTCACACATGACCTATAAATTTGGTCTCGCTATATTCACGCTACTCAGATAGTGACGTGAATATAACGACATGTCGTTTGAATTTTCAACCCTCTTCTAGGGTGTCGTTATATTAGAGACTGTCGTTATAATAGAGACTGTCTTTATATCAGAATAAATACGGTAATTAAGAAACCGGGAAAGCAACCAAAATTAGACCAAGTGTCATTGGCTTAGTTACTATTTGTCTCCATTTTTAACGAAAAATTTTTACCCAAGGAAAACCTTAATAAAATTTTTAGGAATCAGTTTACCTTAACACTTGAATTCGTCTATTTGTTACAGTAATTCTCCAATCAAAAAATGCTGTCAATATTACCATTAGTGTCGTCAAAATGTTAACATAAATTATTAGATTAGCTGTATTTTTGTTTACCAAATATAACGCTCCCAAAATTTCCATTGTAGGATCGGCAAAAGCCATAAGTATTATATAAGTCATATAGCTGATTGAAATTACCCACTTAAAATTAAATAATATGATTTGTTATTTTGATTTGTTAAAATACGGCCCAGAAGACTCTAACGTTAAACATTTGGACGGCCATAACTCGGCCCAAGGTCATCTTGCAAGAAAACTAATATCACTTCGCAATAGGAATGCAGAGGTCCTCTATCGAATGGTACCAAAAATATATCAAATTCGTGATGACAGTAAAAGATGGTTCCTTGTGAGAGATAAACTCATTATCTCCCCTTGTGTAATTTTACTTGTTAATTAATATCAGGTTTTGAAGAAAAAATTGGAGAATTTTTTATATAACAGATGCAATTTGCATCTGTTATATACTTGAGAAAAAAGCACTTGAGAAAAAAGCAAAAAATCGAAAATTTTTATGTTTTTTTGTAGTCCAAGACATCTAGTTTTAAATTTTAAGCGTTTGTGCGATGATTTTTGAATCTTAGAAGGCTTTGAAGCCATAAATCCTCCAATATACTCCATTTTCTGCGCCGCAGGCAAAATTTTTGAGCATTTTGGAGTGCATGGAGCAATATTTCCTCCAAGATGGGTCGGTTTCCAAGATGCGACGGGATTTTTCCATCCGTTTTTCATTCTCTTCAACGGAACGTTATAAATTTTTATACATTTTTTTACACAGTTTTATCTCCGGATATCCCTCTTAATCTCTATTCCCTTTTCTGCGCCGCAGGCGAAAATTTTGAAAATTTCGGAAGGCCGTAGGCGAAAAAAAATCACTTTTTAGTGTTCAAAGTAAAATATTTTAAGAATTTTAGAGGGTCAAAATCTCATAATTACTCCATGTAAAAATAGAATAATTTTTAAAACAAAATTAAAATTATTAAATAAGTTACATATTTATGAAAAAAAACATTAAAATTCCTTTTTATCGAATAGGAATCGAACCCAATATTAAATCATTAGAGACTTTGGTGCAGGCACGCACCTTCACCACTCGGCCACCCGCTCATATAATGGATAATGAAAGGAATTAAATATATTTCTTTAATATTCCTATTAAACCAAGTACGAGAAGTACGAGCTCGTACTTAGGCCTCGTACCTCGTACTTTTCACTTTTTTTGGCCTCGTACTCGTACTCGTACTTCGTACCTGCCCAAATTTTTTGCTCGTACTCGTACTTCGTACCAGGTACGAGTACGAGTACGAGGTACGAGTACGAATTTTGGTACGAGCTTCGAAGCACTGGATGCAAAACTGTTCGTTTATTTTGTAAATCACAAACTCACACTAATAATTATCATAATAACTGTCAATTTTCTTCCAGCATTTTCATATTTGTTCAAAAACAAGGTTGCTCTCAAACGTTCTAGCATAATACAAAAATGTAGTGAAGGATAACATATCGTTTGCAAATAGAAAGATCCGACTAATATTGAGTCAAGCCATAGAGGAGTTAATAATTCGCGTGGATCTTTGTAGTAAAGAAGAATGATCTTAAAACAAAAATGTAGCGAGGTCCCAGAAGTTGGGGAATTATATGTATAATTAGATAATTAATTCTAAAGACTTACAAAATAACGTAAATTAGTGGCAAATTGTGTTACCGCGTGGATGAAATAAACAATGACGATATTAACAAATAACAACTAAAAATTATTTTTTAAAATTTAATTTTTAAAATAATTTTTTTGAGTTAATTACAAATCTATAGTCCAGATTAATAGCACAACTAGTTGCAAACTAAGTTCTGTAAATAATTTTATGGGCATCCCTGGGGTTCCAACCTTTCATATTTTTAGGAGCTTGAACAATGTTCATCGCTAATTTCTTAATGATACTCATAGTTGGATAACTTATAAGATTTATGTATTATATACATAGAATTGTATCTTAAATGAAGGATATAGCTCGGGTATCTTCCCATTCATGGGACAAACAAATTTAAAAATATTTGATCTAATCTAGCAATATCTTATAGTGAGTCAGTCTAATTAACATACCAAAAGATTTGTATGAATAGCAACACGCTTTTTCAAATATTGTCGTATTAGTTCGAAAATCAACAACAAAATTGTAAATAATAGAACGATAGAAACACGTAAGACAATTACATAAACGGGGCTTAGAAGGCTCTGCTCTAGGTCTATAGCAAGCAATGTTAAATTTATTTGAGTTGTTGAATTAATTGAAGTCATATTTTCTAAAATTTATATTTAATTATAAAGCTCATAAAGCTTATCGTTTAAATCTTGACAAACTATTTCAAATGAAATCTATAATAAACTGATTTGACAATAAGCTAACTCGATTTTCAAAGAAAGCAAAATTCCAATCTGCTGGACAAATTTACTTCAGAACAAACTCCCACTGCGGGAACTTAGATGAAATGTGTTATACGTGAAAGCAATTTCCTTTAGAATAAGCCCCGTGGCTTATTTTTTGATCGACCTCAAGAGGTGGATTATTTTGGAGGCGGGGCATTTTGGATGGGGGTGGACTTATTTTGGATGGGGGGCTTATTTTGGATGGAGGGTAAGGATTATTTTGGAGGGGGACTTACTTTGAAGGGGGGGGGGGGGGGAAGGCTTATTTTGGATGAGGGGAAAGGACTTATTTTAGAGGGAGCCTTTTTTAGAGGAAATACAGTAGGCATAATACACAAAAAAAAGTATTATATATCCGTTGATAATCCGAGGTATACCAAAGATCACAAGAAAAAGAATAACGTTTATCCACATTAGATAATTGAAATTAAGCTTAACGCTTTAAAAACGCTATTAAAAAATAAAAAGTCAACGAAAAAGAAAAAATTAATTAAAATAATTTTTTATTAAACGCAAGCTTAAACAATTTTTTCTTTAACATTAAAAAAATAATAACAAAATGTATTTTAGCGTGAGTTGTCTTAGAAAAAGAAGCTTAAACGAAAGAATATAGTACTTTTTATTAATTATTAGGTACAAAAATTATTTTTTAATATTGAAACATAAGTTTTCAAAAATTGACTGATTTTGATGTTTGAGGATTGAAAAAAGAAAATTTTCTAATATATTTTTCAGTTAAATCAAAATTATTAATATTTCAATATCACATGAAAATGAAAAAAAAAATTAGAAATTATTTTTAAATTAGCTTCATTATAATTAGGGTTTGACCCCGACCCCGTACCCCGACCCCGTTCCCGAACGATTTTTTCACGATTCTCCCCGACCCGAACCCCGCCCCGAAAAAAAGTGAAAACCCCGTACCCCGACCCGAAAAGTTTCGGGGTTATCGGGGTTTTACATACCCAAAAAATGCCATTTTTGGGAGAATTTTAAGAAAAAAATTAAAAAAAATTTCCTTCCAATTTACTTTGCCCTTATTATTTTTGAAAGAAATATGAAAGAAATATCAAAATTCGTTTTCCTGCTCTGTTAAGTGACTTTTGGTTGAGTGGCTTAGATGTTTTATCTAAAAAACGAAGACATCCGGCTTTTTGACCTAAAAAATTTTTAAACTTTTCGCCTGCTGAGCTGGAAATGTAAGAAATCTGTCTTCTTGGCCTTCCAAGTTTCTCAAAATTTTTGCCTGCGGCGCAAAAAAAACGAAAAAATCGGGCTTCTTGGCCTTAAAAATTCTCAAAATTTCGCCTGCGGCGCAGAAAAGAAAGAGATACCCTGATATCCTACAAATCCCTAATAACTCGATAACCCTTCAAATCAATGATATCCCTTGAACTACCCTTAGTCCCTACAAATCTTCTTATATCCCTGATATCCGCTTTAATCCCTCCAAATCCTCCTTATTCACCTCTAGATTTAATTAATCGCTCCAATTTCTCTTATTTCCATTTAATTCCACCTTATTCTCATTAATTTCTGAATAAATTGCCGAAAATATATCGAAAATGCTTATTTTTAGAGCATTTTTCCATTAAAAAATTTTTCCACTAAACCCCCGTACCCCGACCCGAACCCCGACCATATTTTGCTCCCCCGACCCGAACCCCGCCCCGAAACAATTCGAAAACCCCGTACCCCGACATACCCGCCCCCGAGCGTTCGGGGTCAAACCCTAATTATAATTCAGAATTTATGTAAAAAAGGCGCAGAAGAACCACAGACAGAATATTCACAGACAAAAGACTCACAAGGAAAAATTTTTACTAAAAGTTTAGAAGAACAAGATTTGGCTAAATTACGATACAAAAACCAAACAGCATCGCATGGGTATCAGGAGACGTATGCGTAAAACACCGCGCTTCGCGCAGGATTCTTCACTGGGTTGTGGGTTATGCACTAGTAACATAGACCTACATATTCCTATTATCGCTGCTGTGGGCATGCCTGGCATCCTTCGCAACAGCAAAGTCACCACAAAAGGGACCAAAGGAAACGAACCAATATGAAAGCACAATAGAATAAAAATAAGAAAAAAATGGTTTTGGATCTTTTGTCTGTGGGTTTTCTGCGTCAAACGCTAAAAAATAATTTATTTAATAATAAAAAATAAAAAAAAATTTTTTTTCTCATCTTTTTTCTGAACTAGAATGTCTCTCCAATAATTTTTATTTCATTATCTGACCCATTAATTTTAATTGCATTACTACCAGGAATATCTTCAACGTGCAACTAAAGAGTTTTACAAATGAGAGAATTTTCCTAAAGGTAGTTCCTACCAGACATGGGCGAAACGTTTCGTTTCGTTTCGTTGTTTCGTTAGTTTCGTTATGTTTTTTCCTGTTTCGTCTCGTTTCGTGACGAAACACTTTTTAATTTGTTTCGTTTCGTTTTGTTAACGAAACACCTGTGTTTCGTTAACGAAACATTACCGATTTTTTAAGCCAAAATATACCCCAAAAACTAAAAAAATTTCCCCTTTGGTGATAAAAATTCAAAAAATTTTCGCCTGCGGCGCTGAAAAAGGAAGAAATCTGGCTTCTTGGCCTTCAAACTTTTCAAAATTTTCGCCTGCGGCGCGAAAAATGGAAGAAATCTGGCTTCATAGCCTTCAAACTTCTCAAAATTTTCGCCTGCGGCGCAGAAAATGGAAGAAATCTGGCTTAAGGACCTATTTTCGCCTGCGGCGATGAGAAAGGACCCCCCCTTGTAAACCTACTCACTGATGACCTATTGACCCTGAAGGCTTACAAACTTTTGATCAACACCATTTTTTGCTTTTATCTCTCTACAAATTTAATCAGTCGATCTGTGGGATTAACGGAGCTAATGAGGGGTACAGAGTTGACCCTCTTTTTAATTATCTTTAGAGCCCGTACTGGGAGTATCCGCATATTAATCTTTTTGCATATTTTGGAGGGAAGGACCTTGGCTTAATAATCAAATACTCATTCGGTAATGCGACAATTTCGACCAATCCCGATCCTGTGTCGGGATCGGTATCACAATTCCAAAATCCAGATCCCGGTTTTTATATAAATCCCGATAGCGCTGAACTCTAGATTTAGGTGAGATTAAGAGAAAAATTGGCTAATGTGACCACAATTTATGGTCGACATAATTTTGCGATCACTTATATGTCATAATTGGCCAATTAACATGCTTAAAATTGTGTAGTTAATAAAATAATCCAGATTTTTGAGATTTTTTTCGAAATTAAAATGTTTCGTTTTGTTTCGTTTCGTTTCGTTAAATTTTGACTGTTTCGTTTCGTTTTGTTAACGAAACGATTTTTAAAAATTTTTGTTTCGTTTCGTTTCGTCCGAAAAAAATTTGGAGTTTCGCCCAGGTCTGGTTCCTACGGAACTTATTTACTTTAACTACACACCCCATTTATTCGCAAGAAGGACATCAATCAAACTTAAATACGTTCAGAAAGGTCAGTTTTTTTCTTCCCCAATTTAACTCAATTTTCCCCGTGGCATGTTCATAACAAAGAAAAGATTATTTTTTCTTTCCAATGAAACCAAAAACGAAGTTAACAATTGAATCAATTCAAAGAAAATAAGCACAGCCGGAGAAGTTGTAACTTATAAAAAAGACAATAATAAAAGAACATGGTACCAAAAAAGTACATGGTCCTGGCTAACCATGTGGTAATAACTGAAATGGCAAAAAATTGATTCAAATGTTAATTTCGTTTTTGGTTACATTGGAAAAAATCTTTTCTTTGTTAATTTCTCTTATTGACATGCCACAGGGAAAATTGAGTTAAATTGGGGAAGAAAAAGGCTGACCTTTCTGAACGTATTTAAGTTTGATTGATGTCCTTCTTGCGAATAAATGGGGTGTGTAGTTAAAGTAAATAAGTTCCGTTCCTACGGCCTTATTATAGTATTGTACTCATACACTTATCTGTCTGTTTATAGAAAAAAATTCTGCCACAAGACTCTTTTGAGAAATGATTAACTCAGTAACTTCATAGAAAAGACGGTCACTAAGCGAATTAGCCAGAAAGTCAAATTTTCCTATGCATTTTATAAAATCTCACCTCAACTGTATTTATTGTGCCATTTATACCCGTAATATTTCCTGTTGGTTTTAATTTTTTTAAATCTTCAGAAAATTTATATTCGATTTTTGTTGGGTTAACGTTAATATGTTCGCCCTTTATGTCGATTTTAACTGATTTTGCTATAATTTTTTTATGATCTTTCTTGACATTTTCAATCTGAATATTATTTCCGTATATTTTAAGCCTGTTTGCAGCTCCTTTTATTTCTAAATAGTTAGTTTCGTAAACTTCATTTTTATTTTGCACACGAATTTTGTTTGAGAAAACAACAATTTTCAAATCGTTGATAATCAACTTTATACCTCCTATATGACTTCCTTTCGAACTTCCATTAGACGTTGAATTAGTAAATCCTGACGATGACCCTCCAAAGAAATTTGGAAAAAATCTTGAATCAAAATTAAAACTGAAGGTTGAAGATTTTCCTTTTGACGACGATCCTTAAATTTTATTTAAATATTATTTTGAATTTATGAACATCCTAAAATCTAATAGATAAACCTAGACAATATATGTACATATTACAGCATATTTAATCCTGTTAGATAAGAATTTCTGGTTAATTATTAAAGCTCTTTTGGAGCTTTAATACGTTTACACTCAGAAAAAGCTAGAAAATTTTCAGTAATAAATCCTGTAGTTAAAAAATAAATAAAAATATTTTCAATTAATTTGTCCACCTTTTAATCATGTGACAAAAAGGTATAATATGTAATATGAAATACCGAAATCTGTATGTGCTTTCTTTCTTTTTGGCGAAGATCCAGCAAAGGTCGGATATGATCCTTCAGACGATGTGGATGATTCTCCAGACGTAGTAGATGATCCACTAGACGATGGAGAGGATTCTCCAGACGTGGTAGGTGATCCACTAGACGATGGAGAGGATTCTTCAGATGTAGTAGGTGATCCAGAAGATTTGTTTAATTTTTTATCATACTCCATCCTATTTTTCTCATCGCAAAGAATTCTACAAGCCTCATTTATTTTCTTGGAATATTCCAAAGCGACTGGATTATCTTTATTTTTGTCTGGATGATATCTTAACATTAATCTTTTGTATGCAGTTTTGATATCTCTGGTAGATGCATCTTTAGAGACTTTTAATATTTCGTAGTAGTTAGGTATAGACTCAATAATTACAACGAAAATTAGCAAGCAAAAGAAATTAATAGAATAATGCATCTGCAAAAAGCTGTCATTAGAAAAATATTATTAAACTAAATAATAGTAGCTTAAGAAAATCTGTAGCTTTGTCTGTATCGGATGTTGTCACTTAGGCAATATTTTATTTATTTAAAAGGGCAAAATTAAAAATTATTTTTATGGCGGCAAAGCTTGCTTAGGCAAAGCAATGCACTTATATTCATAGACTTTAAATGAAGAAATTCAAAGAAAACCGCCATAAAATTAGATTTTAAAATTATAATACAAAGTCAATAAATATTAAAGAAAGTCCCGCTTATTTCATAATAGGCATGAGACTACTGCAACATGCGTTTGGAAGCTTGTGTACAGAAGCAAGCTTCGTTTGCTTCTGTTTGATGGCTGGATTTGAATTGATGTGGCTGGGTTTGAATTCAGGAATGGGAAATGAGATTTTAACATTTTTCCTTTCAAAAATAAAGTTTTTAAACTTTGATTTTAAATTTGTAAATTTATTTTTTTAATATTTTAAAGTTGAAAAAACTTTAAAAATTTTAATTTAGTCAAGAATTTTCCAAAATCGGAGAAAATGGAAGAGTTTTGGCTTCATGACTAGGGTTGTCGGTTTCAATAAATTCTTCACAGGCTTCTGAGCCCGCGAGCGACTTAAAAGCCGCTCGCGGGTTTGATTTCTAACTCAGTTGTCATGTTTCGGCGTTTTTCAAAATTATGATATTTTCGAAAACTTTGTGACCAGTCTAACAGTTACTATGTACTTCAGGAAAAATTACATGATTAGCTTCTAGATTCTGAATACAATGCAAGATACCGCATCCAAATTGGTCGGGATTCCACCGAGTTATGAATTTTTAAGAATCGAAAAAACGCCCATTTTTGCCATTTTTTGTTCATTTATTTGCAAAAATGAGTGTTTTTTCGATATTCAAAAATTCATAACTTGGTAGAGTGTCGACCGATTTGGATGCGGTTTCTTGCATTGTATTCAGAATCTAGAAGAGAATCATGTATAAAATTTACAGGCTTCGAAAAAATTTATTCGGAAATCGAAAAAGTAGTAACTGTTAGCCGGTCAAAAAGTTTTCGAAAATATCATAATTTTGAAAAACGCCGAAACATGTCAACTGAGTGAGAAATTTTTTTTCAACTGAGTGAGAAATTTTTTAACATTAAGAACTGTCAAATCTGATAACGATGAATGGAATTACGTAAAAGTGGCCTTGTTCTTAACAAAATTGCTGCCACTTTATTTGAAATATTTATTCGACCCTTTTTTCTCTTTGTTTGTATTAGCGAATTTCACAACAGAAGGTAATTTATACATGCTTGAGTTGTTTTCAAGCATGTTACAAATTACTAATATAAATATCATTAAGAGACATTGTACTCATTAAATTTTTTTAATTATTACATTTCAAATAAATTTTAACGGATTTAATTTGTACTTTTGTAAATCAAAAATGACCAAGTTTAAATTTTTTAATAATTATTGCGCTAATATATTATTTAATTTATTCGCTACATTGCTTCTTAAAAGGAATACTTAACTTTAAATTTTTAAAATAATTTCCTTATTTTAAAATTACTTTATACTTGAATAATGTATCATTTTTTAACTAAAGCAATATAGGCTAAGTAAGAAATTTTCATATTTTATTGAATTAAGAATTATCATCTCCGAGGGTTTGACTGAAATTTGCTAAAGGCTCTAGCACATGAATGACAATGTAGACGAGGAGGGGGTGTTCTGAAATAGACGTTTGAAATCAGTGACCAGACTGGCTCCAACTAGTCTATTGGAAAATGAATTTTTTCGGTACCGGTATTGCGGAAATACCACTAAACACTAAATAGACACATGCAACATTTGCTTTTATGATAGTATATAACTTCACAACACGACAAGAATAGAGTCGAATTTCGATTTTTGAATATTGGGGTTCAACTACATACACTTTGAAATTAACTTAAGGAATATTTTAAAATGGAAATAATATTATCTTTTTAATAATATTAATTCAATAAATTACAGTTTGACAAGAAAGAAATGGGGCACACATTTTATGCCATAACTTTATTCAAATTAGAGATAATGGGATCAAGCCAAGCTTATATGATAGAGATATATGATATATGATATATGATAGAGATATGATAGATATATGATAGGCTTATATGATATATGATAGAGAAGAGACTTTGGGGCACAAAATCTGTCATTTATATTAGTTTGAGTTGTTCGGTTCATGAAAAAATTTCCCGTCTGAAAAAAATTTTTTGACTTGCGAACTTTTGCCTAAAATTTTTCCGCGCGCATTCAACTCTATTTCCGAGCAAATGGTGGGCACTTAGAATTTTTCGCAAGTCAAAAAATTTTTTTCAGACGGGAAAACTTACTTTTATCTATTATCTTGTTTTCGTTTCAAGGACCGCAAACTTTTATTTTGTCAAGACTTCAACTATAACTCTTTAATCCGTTCCATATCTATCCAGAAATTTAAATTTTTTACTTGCATAATTAAAATTATTTTAAAAAATCTCAATAATTAAGAAACTTTATTCGATTATTTTTAGTAGATTCATTATAATTAATTAAACAGAAGAGAAATATGCTGACACCTAACGACCCGGTAATAACTTTTATTAATTGAATTTAGAAATTATTAATAATACTGAAAAACCTAAGCCTCGAATATTCGAAAGTTTTGTTTTTTTGGTTAGCTTAGAATCCAAAAAATTCATCTGAGGCAGTGAAAGGGGAAACTTAAGAAAAATTCGGTTTGGTTTCAGGGAATCCGCTAAATTTTCGGCCTGGCACCGTTTTATATTTCTACAGATTTCCCAGACCACCATTCAGAAAAACTAAAGAGCTTTTGAATTTTTTATAAAAATCCAGCATGTATTTCAACTAAATTATTTTTTATTTAATAACAGGTCTTCAATTATTACAATACAACAGGAACTTTGTATATTCTCACAGCCAAATATGGCAGTATTGCATTCCTAAGTTTCATAGCGTTTTTATTAAATTCGTTTATGGTCTATACAACATGGAAAAATAAGTTTGTATATTTATTATTTAAATTAACTAATTGGGGAATTCTGTGCTTAAAATGAATATAAAAAATGAAAATTACGGATGTAAAAAATCAAAATTTTAAAATTAGGGGTTAATCAAAAGCTCAGCCAACGTGAATAACAGAAACGAGGCCTTTTAGTGGTTATATCCTGGACTTTTCTCTCATATTAATGATCTCCGTTGTATGTAAATACGACTCGATAATACTGTGATTCCTTTATGGATTTAAAAAAATAAATGTAAGGATCTGTTAGAAAAACTGTTTTTGGAACTACCTATACATTGCGGAAGGGAACACTGGGGAATGCCAGAGATACTTTCTGGTAATATTGTCCTTGTTTGTAGATTTTTTGTTTTGAAGCAACTCTGGGACTAAAATTTTTATCTGAGCATAAAATAAATCTATTTTATTCATAAAAATAAGAAATTTTTTTAGATGTTTCCATTATCGTTGTAATATCTACATTGCATTGAATTCTCTATTTACCTTACCTCTCCACTTTGGAATGAGTGTTAAATTTATTATTCTTCTATCAGGAATTAATTTTATCAGTCTTCTTTCTTGCTATATAATTCAAGTCATTCCTTTGACTTTTACAACATTTGCTACTCAAATTCAATTTTATATTGGATTTGACAGGTTGCTGAGTATTGCTTTTCCTATCTGGTAATTTTAACTTCTTGCAAATGTTTTGGGACCCCTTGAAAAATTATACAATAGATTCATAAACAATGCAAATGCAAAGAAGAGTAGCGTATGAAGATAATGAAGAATGATGAAATAGACATAAGAAGGCATAGCTTATGAAGACACAGTGATAGGGGCCATAGTGTAAATCGGCATGAATTAAAACCGAGGAACCATTTAATTTTTGAAGAAATTATTGTTGAATAACAATTTCATAGAAAATGTTTAAAGCCCGCAATTTTATCCAATAATTTCAGGTATAGATTCAAGGATGCTTATATATCTGTGAGTATAATAGCTATACTTACAACTATCAGGACAAGTCGTACATGCTGGAATTTCTTAAATATGGCAATTCAATTCCCTGAAAGGTATTACATATTGTTTAGAATTTAAGCAGAGTTGCGCACCGATCCGTTCCCGAAACATTTTTTCACATTTATCCTTGAACAACTGGAAAACCCCGTTCCCCGACCCGAAAGAGGTTCGGGTATACACCACATAAAATGCATTTTTTAGAGAAAACCTCAGACCCCTAAGCTCTCAAGGCGAAACCCTAAATTAACGTTTGAACCTATGCTTCTCGAAGAAAAACACATGTCTCTAAAGCATCTCTAAAATAAGCACACTCTGAGAGTAATGAAAATTAGAGACGAGTGCTGTAATTAAAATACGGTAATTAACATACTCTAGATTAATTACCAGACCAACAATGTGTGCTACAGGCGATTTGCTTCAACCAGAAATTAGTCAAGAGACTCTTGCAACTGCAAATATCTATAATTTGTTAACAGTTGCTTGTTATGTAACTATCTGGATATTAATGACTATTAAAAAACAAAACAATTCTAATAGTAAACGTCTAATAAAATCATTGACAGCAATCATCATAATTAATATGGCAGGCTTTGTTAATGTCAGTAGAGAAATTATTAATAATATTAATACAGTTCAGGGTGGCCCTTTACAAAACCTAAAATTTTTTGAGTTCCAGCCAACTTTCTAACTATAAATCCAATACATATGAATTTTATATCATACGAATTTGATGGATCAGTTCTGATCACTATTCAAAAATATTTACAGCATAAATACGAAAACACTAAATAAATGACTTATTGCCTTATAACTTTTTAATGAGTGGTCAGACTTGATCTATCATATTAGAAAAATACAGCTTATCAAGGGCTTTTGAATAATATAAGATTTATTGAACTGAATACAACATGAAAAATTTATAGCCGATCAAGATCA